GGGGGGGGGGATGGGGGGGACGGGAGGTTCACTCCCAAGGCATCTCCGCACTCCTCACCCATGTCCCGTTACAGGGCCAAGGACTCAACCTTGCATCTTAGTATAGACATGGCTCCGTGCTTGGAGTTGCTCCTCGGAGGCCTTCCCCGAACCCACGACGGTGCGACACGGGCGGGGTCTATTCCTCACTTTCACAGATGCTTGTAGACACAGCTCCAAACTCGAGATGTGTGTGGTCGGTGATTTGGGGGTAATTTTCCACTGAAAACTCGGCAAGCTGACTACGTTTTATCTTACTTTTAGCTCCTGGGGTTCTGTTGTTCCTCTCTCTCTCTCTCTCTCTCTCTCTCTCTCTCCCGCTCCTCTCTCTTTCCTTCAGTCACAAAATCCACAGGGATAAGACTGGAGTTAGCCTGTGACCTTTGCAATACTTGGGCTTCTGGGCGCCAGCTTCGTGAGAAAGAAACCCCACACCTGGCGGGGCCGGGCCCTGGGGAAGGGGGCCCAGAGCGCTACGCGCAGGACATCAGCCACAGTGGAAGAGTCTGCAGGCCTGGGGCGCCGGGGGTGGCCTCGGGAGCCGGGCTGGGGCACCGGCAGCCACAGCTTGTTGGGGCTCCGGAGGCTGTGAAATGAGGGCAGACACATACAGGAAGGTGAGAAATGCTGGTCCCCGCAGGGCTATAAACTGCACCCCAAAGTCTATAGCAGTGCCTTCCTCAACAGCCAAATCATGGAAAGAGCCCAAATGTGCATTGACTGGTGAAAGGTAAAGAAGATGTGGTTTATATACAAAGGTGAGCTACGCAGCGACGAAAAAGAATGAAACTTGCCATTTGCAACAATGTGGATGGAACTAGAGTGTACTATGCTAAGCGAAATGAGTCAGAGAAAGACAAATATATGATTTCACTCATAGGTGGGGTTTGAGAAACTTAACATATGACCATAGGGGAAGGGAAGGAAAAATAAGATAAAAACAGAGAGGGAGGCAAACTGTAAGACACTCTTAAATACAGAGAATAAACTGAGGGCTGCTGGAGGGCAGGTGGGTGGGGGATGGGCTAAATGGGGGATGGGCATTAGGAGGACACCTGTTGGGATGAGCACTGGGTGTTCTATGTACGTGATGGATCACGGGGTTCTACTCCTGAAGCCAAGACTACAGTGTATCATAGCTAACTGGAGGAGAAGAAAGAAAGAAAGAAAGAAAGAAAGAAAGAAAGAAAGAAAGGAAGGAAGGAAGAAAGAAAGGAAGGAGGAAAGGAAGGAAGAAAAAGGGAAGAAAGAAAGAAAGAAAGAAAGAAAAAGAAAAAGAAAGAAAGAAAAAAGGAAGGAAGAAAAGATAGGAAGGAAGGAAGAAAGGAAGGAAGAAAGGAAGGAAGAAGAGAGAAAGAGAAAAGAAATACTGGTCCCCTGAGGCGAAAGTTTTTCAGTCGCATCAATTCTGCCTTGAACCAAACTCTTGGATAAACGTATTAAACCGAGGTCGTTTCTGCCTAGTACGGAAATACCCAAATCACCATGGTTACCAACATGTTTATTTTGCTGAGCTGATGGCAACTTCTGCTACTCTAAAGAGAGGATTTATAAACACTTGAGGGATGAGTAAAATACGAGGCGGCCGAGGCGGCCAAAACGACCGAGGGAAGCTTCCCCGCTCCGGGGCGGGCGGCCCTGGGCCAAGCCCCCCACCCATCCCCGGAGTCCAGCTCTGGGTTTCGGGTGATCCTCCTGCTCCGGTCTCTCTGGGCCTCCTCCCTGGGCGTCTCCTCCTTTGCCGACTGTCATCTGCATCCTTGTGTTATAACAAACGAAGCCCGGGTGTCCTGTGAGTCCTTGGAAAGGTCACCGAGCATGAAGATGGCCTTGGGGGACCCCTGGCACATCCTCCTTCCCCCCAAAATGTCCCTGACCCGTGGCTCCATTGGAACAGGATTAAGATGACGCCTGTCCTTTATGGGAGAGAGGGATTTGCCTGTCAGCCTTCCCCCAGCAGGGCCGGGATGGGGGAGGGGCATGCCAGACTGGGTCTCCATCTCCCCGACCCCCCTTTCCCTGTGCAGAGTAGCCCCCTGATGGGCCCTGGTCAGCACCCGGTGGACGCAGCCAGGAAGTCCTGGGAGCCGAGGGCCAGGGAGCCGCAGCGGGACGGTGGGCACGCCCGGGGACAGTACACTTGATCCCGAGGCACCTCCTCCCGCCGACCCCCACGTCGTTCCTGCCCCTCCCCCCGGGGAGCCCACCTGGCTGCAGGTAAGGGAGGCTTCCGGAGGAGAGGTCTCTGCAGCCCACGGCAGTCTCCGTCTGGGGGTGAGGTGGGAGGTGGGGAGCTCTCTGTGGCCCCCGAGACCTGGGTCGCCCCAGGACGTGGGAGGGGGGACACTTCCCCGAGGAGGGAATATAAATGGCCAGCAGCCTCTGTGAACGGACTGGCTGGTGAGAAGGCTCCTGCCGGGTGCAGGGCCCGTCTGCCCCGAGAGGGTGAGGAATCACACCAGCTGGCCCGGGGGGCAGAAGTGGTGCGGGGGGTGTGCCTTCCTGTCCTGAGCATCCAGGGCCCTGAAGGGGCCGGATTATGTCAGCTGAAGCTCGGGCTGCAGGTAGGGGACCCACCAGAGGACACTGGCGTGGCCCTCCTTGGTCAAGTGGGGGAGGAGTGTGAGGGAGGACTGCCTCGAGCAAAGAGCTGACGGCTCTGAGACCCCCGTGCTCATGGGCGTCAGGTGAGCCGATCTTCCCCAGATGGAGGGCGGGCCGGCCAGTCCACGGGGGTCGGAGGCCACACGGGCCACGACGGTGACACAGCTTCCTGCACCGTGTGAGCGCTGAGGTGCCCCTCCCCCCAGCCACCAGGGCTCCGTGGCCGGCCTCCCCTCCAGCCAGGTGACGAGGGGTCCCGGGAAGGCAAAGTCTCGGGGCCTCTGACACAGCCCGCGAAGGGAGACTGAGGGCATTGTTGTTTCAAGGTTCTGCCCCACGGTCCCAGCCCCTTTGGTCATGGCAGGTGGTGAGCCCAGGTCCACCTTAAGGAGGAAAGTTCTGGAGCAAGGGCGGGCATGGGGCTAGTGTTTACCCAAGCCCACCTCGGGGGCCAGGCACGGTGCTCCCCCACCCCGTGTCGTGTCTTTAATATTCTCCGCTGCTCCCCTGGGGGGTTCGAGAAGGAGTGTGAAGGTCAAGGGCACGGCGTGGCCAGGCCTGGGATGCCTGCGGGGCCACCACGTACTCGAGCAAGCTAAGAGGCTCTGTCACAAACCACCGGAGTTGTAGCCAGGCGTTCTCACATGTGCTGGAACATAAGCCCCCCCTCCCAACTTCGGAGCACCCGGTGACAGCCGTGGGACTCATGCTCTGCAGTCCACACTCTGGGAAATCTGGCCCAGCTCCTGCGCCGACTGCTCGAACGGGGGCAGGTCCCTAATGTCTCAGGGTCTCTGTTCTCTTCCTACGGTTTCAGGGTGCTGACACGGGCCTCCCAAGGTAGCATGTGTCCATGTTTGTGTCACGCCATGTGACTGATGCCCTGGGGGCCAGGCCCTGGTGGTGAGAATCACGACGTGGACCCCGTGTCTCTCCCGTGTGCACTGGGAGTCTGGCTGGCTGAAACTGACCAGCAGGAGGCCACCCCCTTGATGGAAGTGGCCTGTGCCCGGGTCTCAGCAGGCAGAATGGGACACCCTCCCAGCCAGAGTTACTGGCTCAGGGTGGGGACAGGACCCAGGATGTTTCAACCCGGACGTAATCCCAGCTCCTTTCATCAATAGTTGGGGGAGACACTGTCATCCTTTGGCCATACGTGAATGAAGGAGTGCCTGATCCTGATCACCCCTCACAGCTACCGGGGGACTAAGAGGGACCTGTTGGCTGAAGCTGAAACCACGGAAGGAAAGCAAAAAAGATGAACCAAACCTGGGTCCTTGAGAGCTGCGGGAGCAAGCCTCACCTGAAGCCCACCCTGCCTTGGACTTGCCATTTGCAAGAGGCCAGGAATCGTCTCTATCGTGGAAGCCTGTTGGAGTTGATGTTTCCCTACTCGGAGCCCAAAACTCCCCGACCAATGCTAGATGGCATGCCCCATGCGGGAGAGCCAGCGCCGGTAACCTCAACAGCACCCTGACTCCCATGATTATGCGCTACCTTGTGGGGTGCAAACTCTAGGTAGTCCTTGCATTGAAGAGCTCCCCGCTAAGTCCCTAATCTATTTATTTCCATCAGAATCACTCTGGTGTCCGGGGTCTCACAGAGTAAGAATCTGCAGCCCCTGGAGTTGGGAATGACCCTTCCCCACCCAGCAGAGACCCGGCATCCTGAGTTGTGGGGCCAGCCTGGGGCACCCCGGTTCTCCTCCACGCTCCACAGGCCCCCCAGCCCTGCCTGACCATAACCTCCCCAGCACTTAGACTTGGAAAGATGTCCAGGCTACGTTCAGGCCGGAAGCACTTCTACTCTGTGGCACAAAGGCTTTCCTCCCCCACTCGGCCATTTCTCCGGCTTTGCTGGAGTCCCGAAAACCTGCGGGAAGCGGCCACCGTGGTCCCCACCGGTCCCCACCCGGGAGTCTCCAGGGAAGCCTGGTCCACTGGCTCATTCCCTGGGGGCTCCATGGCACAGACTGTTTCCTGGTGTGGCTGTCTTTTCCCTCCCAGACACAGAGAGAGAGAGGAGAGGAGGCGTTCCCTCCCTCAGCCGGTCCTGGTGGAAAGCAGGGTCCCCTTGGGCCGGGGCCACACAGGCGCAGGGCCAGCGCATGGAAATAACCTTCTTCAGGCTGCCGCGTCCATCCTGAAAGACCGGTGCCGTTTCCCAAGCTGTTTCCGGGACCCCCCGGCCCCACCCCAGCAGAATCATGTCCTAGGACCCCGAAGCCCTGCAGAACGATTTCAGATTCCCCTTTGTTTGCAGGCAAAAGGCTCAAATCCAGCAAGAACAGACCGAGAACTAGGGCTCTGGTTGCAGGAGACACAGAGGGACCTCCCGCCCTGGTCTGCAGCGCCATCTAGTGGCCAGTATGAGGCATTGCAGGTCGGGTAGAAGGTGCACAGGAAATACAGGTGGTTCTCACCTCGCCTGACCCTTGAGCGCAGAGAGGGCATCACAGCCTGGATCCCGGGCTGGGAAGGACGTGGGGCTGCAGGTGGTGTCTCGATGTGAGAACTGCTAGGGACCCAGAGCCTGAGCCAATCGAAGCCCCCCACCTTGCCGAGCTCCTGGGTGCTCTCTCCACAGCTCAGAGGGACTCAGTTCTCAGGTCCTCGAAGGCTCCCATGCCTCACCAGTGAACCAACTAAGTCTTCTCGGGGGCAGCAGAAAGAGCCTGAACTAGGAGGGAGAAGATCTGGGTTTCCACTGTGAGCTGCTTGGAGCGGTGGTTTAAAATTTTAGCCTCAGTTTGCTTGTCCGTAAAACGGGACCGGGGACTCGTAACTCGTAGGGTTGTTGCAACAATCAGATGGACAAGGGGAGAACGTTCGCGGTCATGCTCAGGTCCCACCGCAGCCCGTGGCAGGAGCAGAGCAGGAGCGGCGACCTTTCAACCAGACAGGCTTGGGTCTAACGCCAGGACCCCACTTCCTAGCTGACTGCGGGAGGGTCACGTGATGTCTCCATTTCCTTGGCTGTAAAGTGAACATAGTCATGTGGGAGGCTTGTGAGCCACCCAGTCACGGGTCTTGAAACCTGGGTTGACTGAAACGTTATCGCGTCTTTTTAAGGCAGACGAGTGACAGGTACCGAGTCAATATCACAACAAATGGGCGCAGACACGTTCCTGGTGTCCCCAGAGTGCCCAGCACAGCACCGTGGACTCAGTGATGCCGGGTAAGCCCGGGAGGCGACTGAACCGGACAGAGCAAACGGCACGGTCACAGTTCAATGTCACATGCGATTTATTCTACTTGAGCAAAATCGGTTTAGCCACATGCTGTGATGCTTTACTGACCCTTGAGAATATCCACGAAATCAAAACACTCGCATTCTCCAGATACGAATCGCTGTTAGTTACACTCAGCAAAGTTAATCTCCAATTAGTTACATTCAACAAAAGTAATCTCATGAATTAAAGACCATGACCACCTTGTAATTCTAAGTTCATTGAGGAAAAACGCGATGCTTTCAGGTGTTAGCTATCGAATACGATCCAATTTGTTTCACATAAAGTAAAAAAGCACGATCCGTCAGTATGGTGTAATGGAGAACATTCTAAGGTAAAAATTTAGATTCTACACCCAGTTCCTTATTAATTCATTTTGTGGCCATATGAAAATGACTCACCCATTTCTTCTCTGCTTTCCCATTGTGCAATGGACAAATAGTACCTCTCCTGGGGTAAAATTGTATTTTTAAATGGCTGTGAAAATACTTGGAAAAAATATAAAATAGTGAATATGTGTATGTATATAATGTTATTTCTACTTATAAAGATTTTCATATTAATGGAGTGTCTTTTGAGTCCCTGTTGTATAAATAAAAACAATGTCCTGGAAAGGCAGACGTGAAAGAGCATATATGTCCACTAAAAATAACATTAGCAGTGCATTTATGACTGACCTATTGTATTGTTAAAAGAACTCCAAGGGCACCGTTAAATATCTTTGAAAATGTGAAATATATATATGACAGAGCGTTGGATGAACGGATGGCTGAATGGATGGGTAGCTACATGACTGAGTGCATGGGGGGATGGGTGGCAGGTGACAGATGTCAGTGGTGAGCAAAACCAGAAAGGACCACTTGAGCCGGTTAGGAGGGTAAAGAGTCTGGGGGCTCTGGGGGCGGTGGAGGTGATCTGGGTGATGGCAAGGCTGGATCCAAGCTTGTTTGAAGATCCCCATGCCTGGGGCATACCCCTCACCCCACCTCCTACTCACTCCAAAAGCTCTTACATCCGCCTGGTGGGCATTGCTTATCTGGGACCTACACAGATGATGGGTCTCCTGGGTCGGTCAGAGGCTGTGTTCTCACCACCCCCGGGACTCATCCAAGCTCTGGATGTGGGACAGAGCAGGTTTCCGTCGATGCTTCATGGATTAAGAACCGAGGTTGATTCACAGCCACCTGCATGGAGAAGGAGGTGACCAGGGTCAGTGCGCACGCCGGAAAGGAGAGGTTCGTGCAGGAACACCCCCCGAGCCTGGGTAGTGTAGGGTGACCATCACCCCGAGGACAGGACTTCTACGCTCACTGGATGGTGAGAGATTGTGCCCGAATAAAAGGGCAGCGGCTCCCAGAAGGCACAGAGGAACGGGGACCATGGCGGCTGGACTGGTCTCCAGTGAACGGGGCTCCGGTGAATGTCAGCACATAGG